AGATAAATCAACTTCAGATTAATTAATTTATCAATAACTTGCATCCTTAATTTATACAGGAATGAAATTAATTTATATCTACTCATATTCATGTAATTAATGATTTGGCCAATTAATCGAAAAAATAATCGACAGATTAATCGATTATTAAAATAATCATTAGTTGCAGCCTTAACTGTGTGCAAGTGTTGCAAAATGAAGGTGAAGCACTTTGGGAACGCAACAAATGGGCTCACATTATCAGCTTTGAATGAAAAATCGAGTCTGAATTGAATCGTGGCCCCAAAAATCAGAATCGAATCAAATCAAATCGTGAGAGAGTAAGAGATTCCCACCCCTGCATGATGCATTTTTATTCTGAATGGCCGTTTAACCCGATTACTTCTGTCCGTGTAAACTTAGCTAGTGTGTCAACCAGTTGATGCAGCAGTGGTTTAGACAAACTCATCTCAGCTGTTTGACAAGGGTTGAATATTTTTAATAGATCTAAGCCTCATTCACACAAAGCCATTATTGAGTGAAACCATATTTCTGCTGCGTTTTGGTCAAGGGTGTACACAAAAGCTTTTCAAATCATCTGTTAAGTAGTGCATGAGAACTACAGACCACTGTAGTCAATAGTTTTTCAACGTAAGTAGAAAAACAACAGTAACATTTGCAGAGTTCCTGGTTTCTCTGCTTTGAATGAATTGCATGGTTAATAGGCTTCTTCCAAACTTGAAATCCCACCGAATAACAATGTTGATGTCTAAACATTTTATGCTACAAATGAAAAGGCCCAAAGGATGTTTGAGAATCTACAACATATGATAGTAATATTGATGTTGGATTGTATCTCTAGATAGGTAGATATAGGTAGAGCGACATTATTTTTCTACTCACGCAATACAAAATACATATATGCAACTGCACACAATACCAAGTGATATTTTGTGTCCAATGTAGAGCATTAACTATTTATAAGATAGTCTAATGCCCACTGCAATAAGATCTATAAAATTAAACTGTTACTCTTCTTCAAAGAAGGATCTGGCTTATTTTTAATAGTTTTAAAACTATAGTGGGTCCAATAAACTTACCAGAACTCTGTCTGCAGTCAGACCCTCTGAGATAACAATGCTCTGTAGTGCTTGAAGCATCAGTGTGAGCACCTCACAGCCCTGACGGTCCTTCTTACTGCCTAAGAGAGCCAGAGAACACATTTTATTAAAACTTAGCAAAAAATAAAAAAATAAACATGTGCAAATTGTTGTGTTAGCTGCAAATATCAGAAGGTACTTCATCATTGGGGACATGCCCCTCAGTGTGTTCTACTCTTCACAGATGCCCTGACCACAAGAATCTGAAGGCTCAGATTTAAACTGATGACCAATATGAGACTGAGTGAGGAAGGAGACAAGGATGAGGTCTCGCCGGTCCTCCTCTCATGTGACAATGTCCTCAGCCCAATCAGAGTGCTCTGTGTGGAGCTACAAGGCTGGACTCACAGCTTAAGAGCCTGCCTGCTGAGCAGCAACCACAGGAAAATGTCATGTAAAGAAAACCAGAGGAAGTAGTTCATATTATTGTAGGTGTCACCTCGAGTGAAATAAATAAGGAAACTGGCTTTGACCCCAGGCCTCTGACGGAACCTTTAAAGAGACAGAACTCTGTTCCGGTTGAACCTGAAGTTGGGTCACAACAGGTCACCTTAACTTGTAAAAGGGACATTCTTTTTTCTTAATCAGATAATAAACAGAATAATCTTTATTTTACTTGATTGATTTTTCTAGGGATGCACCGATATCGATACCAGTTTCTGGTATCAGGTCCGATACCAGCATTTTACAAGTACTCATAATCATTCAAAATGCCCCGACACACTGAACCGATCCCGTTTTTCGAGTGGATGTTCACATTTCAAATTCAACTTCCAGGCTGCCGTTGATTTGTGACGCGCATGCACCGTTTACAGGATTAAACAACAGGTTGCTACGGTGAAAGCTACTTCTGAGCTTGTTGATTGTGGAGTTGTTATTCAATCAGAACCGGTAAAATAATTATCTGGCATGCTTGTTTAGCTTATTGTTTATGTTTTAACCACCCTGTGGTCGACTGCTTCGATGAAGCGTGTATTTTATGGAAAGAATGCGACGCACTGTCACATGCCGTTCACTGTTTACAGGAGGAAACGGGTTGCTATGGTGGATGCTATTGTTAGCTTTGTCTGAAGCTGTCGTTCAATCAGAACTTGAAAAATAATTATCTGACATGCTTGTTTAGTTCACTGTTTATGTTTTGACAGCCCTGTTGTCGGCTGCTCCAGTGAAGCTTGTATTATAAAACGTGAGCGACGTGACGCACTGCAAGTGAAGCTAACACAAGTATCGATCATCTACTTTAGTTTCGACACGGTCCGACACCACTACTATCAGATGTTTCTATAATTTCGCTGTCATCAAGGAGATGGAAAATTCAAAGAAAAAGATGGAGCAACTGGAATTCTGTTCTGTAGTTGATGACGTGTTGGAAGTGATCCAAAAAGTATTGATCTAGAACTTTTGTTTCACGGTCCGACACAGTCACTATCAGATGTTTCTGTGGACTCTCAGTCATCCAGGAGATGGATGACTGTTCTGTAGCTGAAGACGCGTGATGCTACATAATTTAACTGCATGACTTGAGGTCAGTATCATTATTACTTGGATCAATATGTAAACACCACCTCACAGATTGTCTGAGAAATGAGGTATGACCATTTATACAAGTGGTTCTCAGTCATGGTCCTGAGGACCACTATCCTGCATGTTTTGGATGTTTTCCTGCTTTGGTACACCTGATTTGATTGACAGGCTTCTGCAGATCTTAAAAACCTGCTGAGGAGCAGAGAAACAACTTAAATCATGCAGGATAATATCCTTGAGGACCAGGATAAACTACTGGTTTAAACTGAGGTTTATTTTGACAAACTTAAGATATGTTAGTGCCAGATTTTTTTTACTAATTTCATTTAAAACCCAAACAAATTCACATACAACAAAATAATACAAATGAAATAAAATTAAAGGTAGCAGAAAGAAGAAAAAAATCTTGTATCTATATTTATATATAAAACAAAACAAAAACTACAACTCCTCAAACAGCAGCTCTTATGAATACAAATTTTACTATTTCATATTTCTTTAGCAAATTAACTTTTATCATTCTTTTAAACAAAATTAACTGAGCCAGCATTTTTATGACTATCCAGATTATTCCACAAGCTTATTCATTTGACTGAAGTACTACATCTGTTCTTCAAATTTGTTCGAATTTTAGGTTTTACAAACATCTCTAGTACCATAATATTATAATAACTAAAGGAAGTTATAACTCAGTAAGTACAAGTATCGGTACTGGCGAGTACCCAATCTGAAGTACTTGTACTCGTACTCGGTTTGAGAAAAATTAGTATCGGTGCATCCCTAGATTTTTCTCTTAACTAAGAGTTATTACCAGGGTTGCACATAAAATTTTTGGTCTGGTTCTCAAGGGAGAACCTAGGGTTGTTGCTTGGTGCTCATATTTTCCTTCACTCATTTAACACATTTATCTATATAGGCATCAGGGCATCTAATGTCCCCCTGTTTTATTTTATGACTCCTATCAGCTGCAACGTCTCAGGACATCATGTCAAATCAGTCCACAAAGTTTTTTATTTAATTTTTTTACTCTGCATAAATTTTGTAAACTACCAAAGTGGCCGAAGGACTGTGTGTATGTCATATAAACATCACACTGTAAACTGAACATTTCATGGTTAAATGTCTTTTAGACTACACATGTCCCTCAGGTGGACAACTCCTGTGGTTTGGTCTTCTGCATCTTCAGCTTTGGTTAAACCAGCTTTCCACACTCTCTAGTCTAAGCAGCAAATATCTGTCTTTTGCACAGACCAAAATAACTTAAAGGGGACCTATAATGCAAAATTCACTTTTTAAAGGTTTTTTTTTACTCAACTTCGGGTATGTACTTCTTAAAAAAACAGTCCTAGGACCAAAAAAAATGCACCCAGGGGCATATTTACTGTAAGTAAATGTATTTTAAATGTCTATTAATGACAAGTTTTATACTTCCGTCATTTTGTGATGTCACAAGCTGTACGACAACCCACTGGAACATGCGTTTAGCCCCTCACCTAGCAACCCCCGGGTGAGGTTCCACCTCCTCAGTATAAAAAGCCGTCACGGTTGTTGTTGTGCAATGCGCAGCTTGTTTCACAACAACCATCCCAATAGGGCAATGGGTAGAATGTTGGACTAAAGAGTGGGAGACCAGGGTTCGAGACCAGCATGGACACAATTTTAAGTTTTTATTTTCGTTCGTTATGAACACGTTTTCTCATGTACCTCTATTGTTTAGCTTATTAAAGCCTTGTTAAAGCCTATTTGTTCGAGTTTCTGAGGTATTTTGACTGCTGCTGCTCCCTGCTCTGGTAACAGCATGCAGAGTGAGCGCAGAGCAGAGAAGGGGGAGAAAAAAAAAGAGCTGCGACCACGACTCTGCCTCTGGGTCTGACTCAGGGTCTCATATATACGGTTGTACAAAGGAGCTTCCGCTATTATTAGCCATGCTAACACTGGTGTTGGAGGGCGGAGTTAATGTCAACAGATTTTTGGAGGGCATTATCAGCAGAGCTCATTAACATAAACAGCTTGTTCTGAACGGAAGTCAGAGCAGGCAGAACTAGAAAATGGGAAATTTTATTATCTGAGAATAATTTTGTGCATTTTATTGAACGAACATGGTCTGGATAGCCTACAGACTACCATAAATTTTCTAGGAACCATAATTGGTCTCCGTTAAAACATACAAATGTTTTATTTGTTAGACTGGTTTCTTTTTTAAAAGACTATTTTATTCAAATAATAATAATATTTAGAAGAGGCGGGGCAAGATGGCGGAGGAGTGAGACGTGTGTCGCGTGGGCTCCCGCTCCGACTTGTTCTGTTTGTGGTTCTATACCAAATGTCCTTACTGTTTTGAACATTTGGTCCGTCCGGACTCGACCCCTGAGTGATTCTTGCCTGGAAGAGTAGAAGAATGGCGACAAACTCGAGGAAAGCCAAACATTTTAGCTTAACGGCTACTAGGCCTGACGACGCTTTGAAACTGACTGCAGCTAAAGCCGGAGCTTCGGCGACCTCCTCTCCCTCCCGCAGCGAGGTGGACGCACTCTCCTTGAGGTCCGACATTCTTGCCGCTATAAAAACCGATCTCTCAGCTGTGATCAAATCCGAAATRAAAGCGGCTTTGGCTGAAGAGTTTACTCTTATTAAAGGAGAGCTGCAAGCGGTGAGAGCTGAAGTGGCTAACGGCACGATGCTACTGCGCGCAGATCTGGACCATGTGAAACAGAGCGTTAAGGAGGTGGAGGGCGGCCTTTCGACCTGGTCCGATGAGGTTGTTGCTTTGCGCACCACCGTGTTGGAACTGAAAGAAGAAGTCGTTGGGCTCAAAAAGAAATGTGACGATATGGAAGGGCGCATGAGAAGGTGCAATGTGCGGATAATTGGAGTTCCAGAGACGCCCGAATCCAGCTCCACTTCAGCAGTGGCTAAACTGCTAGCAGAGGTTCTACAGATGGATAAAGARCCACTGGTGGACCGAGCCCATCGCTCTCCAGGTGGAAACAGGTCAGGCGGTAAGCCGCGGGTTATTGTCGCTAAACTGCACTATTATCAAGAATGTGTAGAAATACTGTGTCGAGCTCGGAGCCGTGGTCCTCTTCAATTTAAAGATTCACAGATTATCATCACATCTGACTACATGGCAGCTGTGGCCAAGGCTCGAGCGGCGTTTACGGAGGTGAGGAGGCTTCTTCGCAACCGACGTGATGTTCGCTAAGGCCTGCTTTTTCCTGCACAGCTCCACATCTCTCATGGGGAAGAAAACAAGGAAATCCTGGATGCCAATAAAGCAATGGACTTCGTTAAAAAGAGGATCATCTCGGCGACGGACAGCGAGGACCGGCATTGACCGCAGGTCCAATCTTCATCATCCCATTATGACTGTCAGGTTGTAATGAACCTTCTAACTTTATGTCCCGCGTTATATCTTGATTTAATTTCAGACTTTATTCTCAGGGACATTATTCCTCTTTTTGTTCTATGCACAAGAGTTTCACAGGGGGTCTGTCCAGATCTTAGTTAGTGATTTATT